TCAGACCGCTGGGGTCCTGCGGAAAGGGGTGAGAGGACTGTTCCCATGGAAACTAAGAGGCAGGAGTAAGTATGTAGGTTCTCGTCTGAGCACATTTATTTGACTTCTTCTGAATGGTTTTCATTATGGTTCTGCAAATAGGCGTCATAACATTTGCTCTGGGCTCCTCTGACACAGTGATATCAAGCATGTCTGGCTTTGTGTGAGGTGATTTTCACAGTTCTGTTTGTTGGGCAAATAATGGTCTTCTCTGAAGTGAGGTTTGTGGTAGAAGCTCATTCATTTTTTAACATTTGTTGATGTTTGTTTGCGATGGCTGCCTGTGCTGATAAGAGGCAGCGTGTGGGTCCAGGAGTTTTGCTGTGCTGCCATTGCGTGGTGACAGTGAGAGGTAAAAAGAAAAAAGAAAAAAAAAAGTTGCACTTGTGGTCTCCCATTACTGAACCAGGTCAGCAGGCAATTTAAACAATATGATTTACTTTGCTGCATTGTGCAATTGCATGTGGAATGTTCTACAGTCATGTGAGCCTTTGAGAATCTGAACAGGTGTGTGTGTGTGTGTGTGTCAGGAAAAGATAAGTTAAATATAAAAAAATAAAAATAACTCTATGTACTCCTGCAAAACTTGTGTTATTTATTGTTACATTTATTAATTATTATTATTTTATATATATTTATTGATTATGTTTTAACTAAACTTATTTTATCTACATATTTCAGACTTTGATAAAAGTCCCCCTACAGTTTCAGATCCTAGTGTGTATGTACATATATGTGTGTGTGTGTTTGGATCTGTCTGTCTGTCCGTCTGTCGGTCGGTGTTTAACCTGTACGGTTGGTGATTGCAGGAAACCCTTCCACCAGCCAAAGCAAAATATCCATTAAGCAGCGATTCCTCAAGTTGCTGCCGTGCTGCCAGCCTTCTGCTGTTCCCTCAATAAGTCAAAGCAAGTTCTCCTTTTCTCTCTATACATTTCATCTCTTCTTGTATGTGGACGCCATCTAGTGCACACCAACAGACACTCTGACGCCTGGTTTTATGCTTCATACTGTGAGCCCACAAATATACCTGCAAACTTCCAACTACTCCTCTTGTGGCTAAAAGGATTGAATTGTTGCTTTTATGTTTTTTTTTTATAATTTGAAATGTGCTCAGTGTTATTGAAAAATGGCCCCTGTGTGTGTGTGTGTGTGTATGAGAAAGAACAAGAGAGAGAGAAAGTGGTGGGGGTGGTGGGGGAGGGTGGGTGAAATCACATGACTCTGGGCTATGAATAAAATGTCTTCAATATTTTTTTAACCTTTACCTCTGTTTAGTATAATTTGTGGAGAAAATGGATGAAGTGATTCATAACAACTGCATTTAAAGCTCATACTGTTCTGTACTGCGTCAGCTCAGTGGCTCAGGTAGAACCAGTTGGCCCGCTGCCATCCTAGAATGTGTGTGTGTGAGTGTGTGTGAATGTGTGTGTGTGTGAAGTGATAATAAATGCTAACTAACACCTGTCTTTTCCTCACACAGACAGCGTGGAAGATGATTTTGAATTATCCACTGTGTGCCATCGCCCTGAGAGCATGGACAAGCTGCAGGAGCAGACCAAGTTCACCAAGAAAGAGCTGCAGGTTCTCTACAGGGGCTTCAAAAATGTACGTCTGGAGCCACAATATACACACATGCTACGAATCCAAATAAATCAAACCATCAATGGTAGTGATTTTTTCTTCATAGGAAGTGAGATTCTAAGTCACCGTGAAGCCTTTACTTCAACTCCTGCTGTGTACTGTGTGCCTAATATACACGTTTATTCCAGGAATGTCCGAGTGGTGTGGTAAACGAGGAGAACTTTAAGAACATTTACTCCCAGTTTTTCCCTCAGGGAGGTGAGTTACGACAGACTGCTGAGCGCCGAGAACACTTTTATCGGTGCCGATCCGAGTTCTTCAAAGACTTTGTCTCGTGTTTTTAGGACACCAAAGTCACAACAACTCTTCACTTTTGCAGATTCCAGTATGTATGCACATTTCCTGTTTGAAGCCTTCGACACTGACAAGAACGGCTCTGTTAGTTTTGAGGTAATCCTTCTCACGCCGTTATTTTGTTTGGCAACAGACCAAAGTACGTTGTGATGTGGTAAACTCTCCGCTCTGTGAATTCTAGGACTTTGTCTTTGGCCTGTCTATCATTCTTAGAGGGACAATTAATGACCGGCTAAACTGGGCGTTCAACCTGTACGACCTGAATAAGGATGGCTGCATCACCAAAGAGGTACAGTGCCTGACGCAAACACTCAGCCATTTGTAGATCTGTAACAGGCTGCAGAAATGTTCAAATCCTTGACAATTGAGTTCATGTGCCTGTGGGAGGCCGAAGTCAAGTGACCTTGGTACTATTGAGACAAGACATGACCTCACATGAAGATACCCAGTCAAAAAGTTTAGGACAGATGTAATAGTTACAAAATGTGCCCAGATTAATGGTCGTCCTCTTGCCAAAAATTAATTTAACTTTTTTCACTTAATCTGAATTTAAAGGAATTCAGTTACAGTTTAATAGAAATGATGAAAAAGCAGGACACTGCCTTCTGTCGAGAAGAATTCAGATGTTTGTCCTTGAGGTTTTTGACTTTACTACATACACAGTAACATCTGCCACTATTATCACACAAGAAGTAGGATTTTTTTCTTAAAAATCTAATATTATTTTGATGTTAAATATATTGACAGTGAGCAAGTTAAATGTGACCAGACCAGTTTTACCTTTAAAAAGAGGGGGTGTGCAGTGTTTCTGTAAAGAAATGCATTTTTTGTATTGTATTGATTGTTTGTTTTTGCAGGAGATGTTGGACATCATGAAGTCTATCTACGACATGATGGGGAAGTACACTTACCCCACGATGCAGGATGATGCCCCCAGAGATCATGTGGAAACCTTCTTCCAGGTTGAAAAAAACAGCAGTCTTAACTTTCACACATCGAATCGTTTTTGTAACAGAAATATATAAAATACTCAAGTGACATGGATATTTGATTGAGGAAAACATTTGCGGTCTTTATCCTCTTTCAGAAAATGGACAGAAACAAAGATGGAGTGGTCACCATAGAAGAATTCATTGAATCATGCAAAAAGGTAGGAGCACAGAGAGCAGGAAAAGATGGACATCCCCGGCTTAGTTACAGGCTTTAGTTGCAGAAGAGTTTTTATATACTCTAATGCAAATGTTCCATTTATAATTAATTATAAACCCAAATAAAATTATTTTTGAGACAAGAGGAGATCAATTATTTTTATATTTATTTAGTCTGTTTTAAAATGTACAATCACATGTTGGCAGCAAGAGAGGGAAAAATTACATTGGAGGTTGGAGGTTATCCATTACAGCACATGGTTCATTATTACATTTTCTTTCTTTCTTTGTCTGTGGTCTGGATGTTAAAAACCCAAATAAAATTATTCTTGAGACAAGAGGAGACTTTTTTTTTTTTACCAAAACCTGTTTCTCTTTTCTCTGCCCAGGATGAGAACATCATGCAGTCCATGCAGCTGTTTGACAATGTCATCTGAGAATCTGGACCAGTCGTAAAATTGGCACCAGGAAAAGGTTATGCCTGTGTGTGTATATGTGTGTGTGTGTGTGTGAGAGAGAGAGAGAGAGAGAGAAACAGTGTGTGTGCTTGTGGCCTTGCAAGCTTGTCTCTCTGTTGAGAGCTGTGAGTCCTGGGGGATCTGAGAGCGACCCCACCACCGCCCATCTTCTCTTCCTTCCTGGAACCTCGGCTTCTCTCTGAAACACTTCTCCTGGCAACCAGCCTTTGTTGTCACGTAGAACTTTAGTTTTTGACTCAGAGACACCAAGTAAGGAGGAAAGCAGCAGTCTCACGGCACTTGCACACTCCAAGATCCCTAATTTGTTTAAACCTTTATTTATTGCAGTTATGGTTTAAGGAACTATTGAAGCCTCGAATTGCGGAACTTCAGAGAGAAACAGTTTTATCCAAACCTCGAACCAGGGGAGGAGTTCTGTGTGTCAGAGCTGAAATTTGTGAATCTAATTCTGCTTTTAAGCATGTGTGTTGACTTTCCCCATGGAGAAGACCAATCGTGTGTTTGTTGAGAGGCTGGAAATCAACAAATCTGCCGCCATCTAGTGGACACAGAAAGACACACTGTAAGGGAACGAAACAAATCCAAGGAATCACTTTTTGCAAAGGGACCGATTTTAATATCGCATGATGATGTCACAAATATCCAACTACGTATTTACAAAGATACTCCAAAGTCTGCTTTTCTGTCTGTTGTTCCTCGTCATTCACAGGTGCCTCGCCTCGTGTACGCGTGTGTATGTGTGCATGTGTAAACGGATAGAGATGTCACCCATCTTACCTGTCTAAGACTCAAATGGGAGAAAACTTACTCCCATAGCTAGTAGATCCAGTCCTGGCCTTTCAAACTGTTACTGTTCTAGCTGTAGGCGTCTACTGACTGTCAAACCTTTCCCAGCGTTCCCACCAAGTATGGGGATACAATAAAGTGGTTGAGACATCTGGGACGTCCATCTTCTCTGACGACAGGCTTGGCTTTCATCAGTCATACTAGTCCGATTCATATTTGTTTCATTCAAAGGGAGTTCATTAGCTCGTTATTGTGATATTCTTGGATTTGTCACGTGGTCGTAGCAGGCTCTGCCATTTTTCACACAGTCTAAAAAGCCTTGTTTGTTTTATTTAGCATTTTACCAGTTTTTTTCACCCATTAAAAAAAGCAAAGTAATTGTGTTTTACTTAGTTAGTGAGAGCTGTGGTTTATTTTGGGTTTGTTTTGGTGCCCGTCCTCCCATGACTTATCCTCCCTCTCTCTGAAACACCAAAGAGAAGATTTAAGAGACAGACACAAAAGCTACTCTTACGTTGACAAATAAAGCCCATCCGTGGGTGAAGAGAGAGGGGGATGCTGTGAAGTAATTAAGGCAAGGGGCAATCAGAAATAATTCACAACGTTTTTCAAGTAACTCTCAACCCTAATACGTGTTTGGCTCCTAGGTTCAGCTGGGGACATGTGTATTAGCCCTCTGAATGTGTTGTGATACAGAGTTTATCAATTAGACACACTTAATTGTCATTTGTTTTCATTTTAGTTAAGTTGACAAAAAATAAAATGGACTTAACTAAGATTTTATCTAAATTTAAATTTAACATTTTCATGCATATGAAGTTTGTAAAACAGATTCTAATAGGAAACTGTTTTATTAAACATTATTATTATTTATATTGCTTGTTAATAAATAATCATAGAAAATATATTATTTGTATAATTATTATTAATTATATAGTATTACATTATTATCTGACGTGTACATGCACGTTGAATGACAAAATTTACACTGAGGTTTACTAGTTTTAACAAGCTTAAGGAAACTCCATGGTCTTAAGTCATTCCAGATTTGATGGGTTTTTTTCTTTTCTTTTTATGTTAATGAATTATGAAAGCCTTCTGAACTTCAGAACATATTTTCATGAGTCTGTTTTTGAAGCATTTAGGAGACTTACATTAAACTCATGAGGGCTAATAACATTGTCTTCAGCTCTGCAAACAGAAATGTCCAAATTTTGTTTAATAACCTCCTCATATGACAATATAACATTTTAAAATCGATGATTCACAGGCACACAAGCTGACCTATGGATGGTAGTGTCCACCTATACAAACAGTAATAGCAATAATTGTCTCTTCGTATCAGCACCTTTACACTCATCCAACCTCGTCATTACACTCAGAGCACAGCACAAGGGTGCACAAAGACCCGGAATAAAAATATATGCACTTCTAGCTCTGTATAATAATTTTTCTTAAAAAATTGTGTTTGTTTCCTCCAGAGGTTGAGAGAGAGAGAGAGAGAGAGAGAGAACTGGCTCTGATTGTTCCTTGCCAACAGTTTTTAACTTCCATTCCCATCCACTAAACAAACCTGTCTCTACCCGCATGTACTGTGTCTAGAACAATGAAAACCTAATAATAACCTGTTGTACTGACTGTCTAGTTAGTTAGCCTCAGCTGGTTGCATTAAATATTTAAAATATGTATATTTTGTACAGAGACAATAAATAAAATAAAAAAAAATCAGTTACTATGCAACACTGTCTGGAGTGTGAATTATCATCACTGCATTCTGTTTTAATCTAAATAAAACATGTTCTTAAAGGTGCATAAAAGAAAAGGCAGGGTTCTGAATAATTCTACTAATAGAATTATAGTAATAATTTTACTTTACAGTTCATTATCTGTGTCAGTAGGAAATGGTGACAATAATTTAAATTGACTGTACATGATCATACTGTACATTATCCAAAGAGCCACACTGTGGCGACAAACAGGTGAGTTAGGGCAGTTTTCATAATTGAACAAAAACAAAAACAGTAATTGAGTCTATTTGACATGATCCTGCAAATGATGTCTCTCTGTGTCTTTTAGCATTTGACAAACTGATCATTTTTGCATATGTTTTGGTATTTACAAAAGAAAACATGAAGAAAAATAATTTGTCTTTAAGTAGATTGACGTCCTGCTGCCACTGCTTCAAATTTTTCCAGGTTTGACGTTACAAAGATTTGAAATTCTAGAACCAAAGGCCTTTGTTTCGACAGAAATGCCTTCCATCCAGTGTGACTGCAGGCTCCAGCTGTAGCTGTTGGATTTGTCAACTAAACAGCATCCCTTTTATTTTGGCATTTTGCGGAGCTCTGCCAGAACCCAAATGGCCAATGAGAGAAGAGCCACAGAACCAGACTGGTGAGTTGCTGCCAGCGCAGTGGGGACGTACATCAACAGGGTGCTGACACCCAGGGCGACCTGCAGTGAAGAATAAAATCAGAGATTCTAGTGCACCGGGGAGACAAAGACAGAGTTGATAAACATGGCATGATAACAATTTAGTACCTGAGTGTAAGCCATTGCCGTGAGGAGGCTGATGGCCACTTTTGCCCTCCTGGGCAGCAGCATTCTTCTTGAGAACAAATATAGACCAGTGATTGCAGTCAAAGAGGAGATTCCCTGGAAGAACAGAAAATTGCAGTTGAATTCTAAATATCTTCCTTCAACCAAATTGTACTCTTCAGAAACCTTGACATACCAAAATCCTGTGGTCAAACTGCACAGTTGTTGGATTTTCAAAAACGTTTTTAAGGGTTGGAGAGAAGGCGAGCAGATCGTCAGGGATCCAGCGTTCTCCCATCTTTGGGAAGGAGTTATAAACCAACCCAGCATCTAAACCAGCGACGAAAGCACCTGCAGCAGAAGAGCAAAGGGAAGAACTGCATCTACTGGTAACCTACAGTACAGTCCATAAACAAATCAGTTTTTCTTGTTCAGTGTCTGTACCTGAGAGTGCAGTGAGAAAGACGAGTCCACCAGTGCCTTTAGCAAATCTCCTGAGCTGCATGAGACGGTGGGTTTCTGTCAACTGAGAAACAAGAGGAAAGACACACATTATTTATGAAATTAAAAAAAAACAGACTCAGCATCCTAACCTGATATTCAAACACCACAGACAACAAATGATGAATTATAAATGATATTGATGCTGGAGGTCTGATTGCTCTGTACTTTATGTGGAGGCAGCAGCAGAGTGAGTCCCGTCCACAGACTGGCACAGTACAGCAGCAGGGCAGAACCGAGGTGAGCACTCAGACGATACTGGCTGACCCGTGGGATGTCGTAGGATTCTGGCTTTTCTTCCAGCCCACTTTTGACCATGTACCAGCCGAGGAGGCCCTGAGAGGGAACACAGTGGAAGTCATTCATGTTACTTAAATACATCTTATGTAAGGAGCCTTCGTCTCCATCTGTCACTCAAGAGATACCTGGAAAACGACAAATCCACAGAGCCCCAACACTTTCCCCTTCATGGAGCGAGTGAAGTATCCTTTCCTCCAGAAGTACATCGTGGGCAGAATGTATGCAAGTCCAACCAGCCTACCCCACATACGATGACCCCACTCCATGTAGAAGATGAACTTGAACTCTGGCAGAGTCATGTCATGATTTAATCTGGAGGAAAAAGAATGGAAATGAAAGTTAGGGCTTCAAATGATTAAAAAGTTTCATCTGATTAATCACAAGGTAGCTGCAGATTAGTTACAATTACTGCTAATCAATTAACATTCCTAAATATGATATGATTTTTTTTTCTGTACATTCACTGTTGGAACAAAATGACAAATACCAGCAGGTAGATGGTCTGTTTCACACTAGATTTTTTTAAATATTTTTCATTTGTAGACCTTAAATATTATTATAATATTAGTGTTATGAATCAGTCAAGTTTGTTTGTTTTTTTCAAACCTTGCTAAAATGTAGCTGTTGATCAGTTGCTGCTCTATCAAGGTTATGGCATTTTTTTGCATTTGTGTCTCTTAGTTTGAAGACAACTTTTACCTTTGCAACTATACAACTATTTATAGGGTAAGTTTAAAAAAAATACCCACATTTTGAATTCTGGAAACTGCTGATACTTGGAGAACTCAGCTTCCCACTCTGCCTGTGACCGAGGTGGTTTCATCTCTCGCACAAGATGCCAGTCGACCATGGAGAGCCCAGATTCTGTCAACCTGGTAAAATAGAGGCATATGTTTAAAATGTAAGTATGTATTCCATCTTCATCTCCAACACACAGATTGTCAAATATGAAAATAATTCACTTCTGTCTTTTTACCTGGTGACACCACCCAGCACAATTGCACCAACAACTAGCCCACTGCAGCCTAGTAACCAGCGACCAACTATTAGATTAGAAGCTGCATTGGGAACAGATGTAGCCGCTGCAGCTTGGACGGAGACCTGTGCGTTTGTGGTGATGGTGCTCTGGCTTCTTTTTACAAGCCACTGACGTAGCTGTGGACTCTGCTGCTGTGAAGTAAATAAAAACAGGGGAAGGAATATGTAAAACACAATCCTATATTACTTAATAATTTAGTAGCACAGTTCAGCTGAGTTTGGGATGTGGTCCTGTAGAGTTTGCCTTTTTAAGGCTTTGTTAGTGAGCAGGTTGTAGAATATTTTATGTTTTAATTTTTTGGGGGGCGTTCTACGTTTTGTGTACGTTCATTATTATTCAATATTATTTTTAAAAAATGCACTCTGCATTCTTTTGCATATCGGGGACAACGCCAATAAAACGCTATGATGTGAAAATATATGCGCTGATTTTATATTAGCTATAATTGTGTAATTACACATCTTTGTGAAATGTATATGATGATTTGATATCCTCACCAAGTAAATCATTGGTGATGAGGACATTTGCAATTCAGTGCTGCACGCGAACGTGACTGTGGTCATGTATCATTGACGGTGTAGATTGGCTAAAATAAACCATTAAAACACAACCGGTTTAAAAAGGAACGACAGAAGATTTAAGTTGGTTATGTAAAAAAAAATACTTTTACCTCACATGACCTTTTTAATGCTGTCATAATAACTCAATAACACAGGATATTCAGTTACTCACGTTGCTGCGTTGAATTCCCTTAGTGGCGATTCTGCAACCGCAAAACATCGTTTTATGTAATAAGGAGAGTAACATTTTTTTCCCAGAAATAATCGTTTTATTGTCTGAAACGATGTCTTGAAAACAGGTCTTACAAAACCATATTTTCGCCACTTCCTGCAGCCAGGCGGAGTAAACTTTGACTTCATGACGTCATAATTAGGCGACGTGTTCTATAGAAAAGAATATAAAAACAAAATTAAAACTTGTATACCTGTGTGTTTGTTTTTACATACACGTTTCAATTTAATCGTTTATATCATATGTTTTTATTTGTTAATGATTTTGATATTTTGATTCAAACACGCGTGGACAACGCTATACATGATGGTAGAATGTTTTGTTTTACAGCGTGTCCCCATTTAGCGGTGACACAACGTCTGTCCAACAATGCGCTATTGTGAACTAAGCCTCGCCCCTCTGCCAAATCTCGTATAATAAAACAATGCATAAGGATGTTTGATTTCGTTGCTTGTTGTCAGTCGCCCTTACATGTAAACTGCTTTCTAATCGATTAATACGATTTAATGAGTCGATGATAGAAGATATAGCAAGTAGCTAAAAGTAAAATCACACGGATACATTTTATACTATATCATTAACCGCGAATCTTTACTTCTCCCCGTGTTTGTTCAGACTGTATTCATTATGGCAGATGACTTTTTGATGGAGGTATGTGTGGATTCTGTGGAGTCTGCTGTCAACGCTGAGCGAGGAGGTCAGTAAGTGCAAAATAACATAACATGACATTACTATTTCTGGCACAAATTTGAAGTTGTAGTGAAGTTGGACAAATTCATGTTTGAAGGTATCAAAAAGGTGTCAAAAACAACAAAAGCTAAAATAATACCACAACCTTACAGAACTAATAGGATTTCCTACTTCTCTCAGTCTGACTTTGTGCCTGTTTGCACAGGTGCGGGTCGACTCGAGCTGTGCTCCAGTCTTCTGGAAGGAGGTCTGACACCATCTCTAGGTGAGCAGATGTCCATTCTCAACCCAAGGTACCTCAGCACATGCTAAGATGTTCTTATTGTTCATTTTGACACAGGTCTTCTACTGGTGGTGAAGCAGTATGTGAAAATCCCAGTATTTGTGATGATCCGGCCTCGCGGAGGAGATTTTTTGTACTCAGAGCAGGAAGTTGAAGTTATGAGAAAGGACATAGAGCTAATGAAGAGCCACGGAGCTGATGGCCTAGTACTGGGAGCCTTGACAGAAGATGGACGAGTTGATACTGAGCTTTGTACGGATTTACTAGGTACGTCTGCTAAATCATTTGGATTTTTTTTTTGGCTTACAAATGTTTTGGTTTTTTAGGCAAATATGGATTTTATAGCCAAATATTTTGATCTTTGGTGACAAAATTCTTAAATTTTGGGAACCACAGCATAAAATCTACTGCTTCTTAGACAGAGTATAAAATATCCACACATTTTAACATGTTCATCGTTAGCAGGAAGTCTGATGTGGAGTCATTGGTAATTTACACAGTCTCACATATTAAGGTCTACATATGTGTGAAAGTGACGACCGACAAATGCACAATAAATTCCTCATGTTCACACACACTGTGTGAAAGAACACAGAATGCAAATGCATTCATTTTTCTGTCACTGTTTTCTTCACAGTTGCTGCTCGACCTTTGCCTGTCACCTTCCACAGAGGTAACGAATCAGTATTTGAATTAACATGAAAATAATAATGGCGTGTTTATATGAAAGCCAGTAATCCATCCATTCTGATGTACAGTAGTGACTGGAATCTCCAGATTTATAATTATGCAGTAGACAGTTAAACAGTATTCAAATGAAAACAAAATAGATGTGTTGTGTTTTTTTTTTACTAAACACTTTAAGGTGTTTATGAAAACCTTGTTGATTCAGAGAGTGATTTGACAACATTCTCATCCACTCATTTTATCACACTTCAAATGTTTGACTTTAACAACAATTCTGTCTCAGGAGAGGCCGACGTATTGCACTAGTTTCCTCGCACTTGTGCAGAACCTTGGTGTGAGTTTGCGTTAATATCCTGTTCAATGCAGCAGCATTGAACACGCAGAGCAGTGAGGGTTGTTTTGTAAGACCCTTGTAAGACCTTCATCAGGCTACTTATTGTAAGTAGCCTGATGAAGGTCTCCTGTTTTCTTTCATTCTTTTAGTTCCTTCGTTTTTTCACTCGCCAAGTTTGAGTGTCAAATCAAATTTGCTGTAGGCCTTGATGTCGGCTTTATGAAGAATGTTTTAAAAAGAGAAAGTTGACTATTAAAGTTTGTTTGTTTTTTTTATTCAAGGTAATCTCACAACTAAATATGCTACAAAAACTCATAACATTTTTATTAAAAGTTTCCATTGAAACTGTTTCAGCTTTTGATATGGTTGATGACCCGATCATGGCTCTAGAGACTCTGGTATCCTTGGGTTTTCAACGTGTGTTGACAAGTGGCTGTGACAGCTCTGCTTTGGAAGGCCTCCCACTTATTAAACGAATCATTGATCAAGTATGTATTATGAAGACAGGACTGTTCTTAATTGAATCAGAATTCAATTCAATTAGCCCCTTCATTATGTCTACTCCTTAGGCCAAAGACAGAATCGTCATCATGCCAGGTAAGATGAACCAGTTATTTTTTAAGTTTTATTTCTTTCCAGTCCTTTATTCTTCTTTCTTTGTGGTAACAGGTGGAGGAATCACTGAGAGGAACCTCCAGAGGATTTTAGAAGGATCAGGGGCCCAGGAGTGCCACTGCTCTGCCCGCTCTAGCAGAGATTCTGCCATGAAGTTCAGGTATATTTCATTTTACACGATAACTGTCTTGTTGAATAAAAATGCAGTGCTTCTTGTTGAAAACACAGAAGTTGAAAGTGTTTTCTTAATGTGCAGAAACACCTGTGTGACAATGGGAGCTGCTCTCTCAGCACCTGAATACGGCCTAAAGGTGGCAGATGTCGGTAAAATACGCACTCTGAATGCAATCGCCAAGAACACCCTGTGAATAGGAAGTGAATATTAAAAAAAAAGACATTAAAATACCTCAAAAGTCGAACTGATGTAAAATGATTATTATCTTACTGAAAACCAGAATTAATAGTTTTAGTATTGAAAGAAATTAGGAGATGGTAATCAGTTGCATTATCTGTGCAGAGAGACATTCATAATTATCTACCCTGTTTACAGCCTCAGAGATGATTTGATGAAACACACATGATGATTGTAAAAGGCTGTGAACCAGAAACCGAAGTGAAGCACTGGTTTTTGTAGCCACTGGTCAGTCACAGGTAAATTGGACAAATATTGATCGACGATACTGCTAATGGATGACCAGTTTACAGTAAAAAGCTGTTTTTAAAATGCACTTCTCTGTTATACAGCTCTATTTAATCTTTAGTCATCTTTCCTTAAGGAGGATTAAAGGTTCTTCTTCCATGGAGATCATTTGTCTGAGATGAACAATGTTGTGCATGTTTCTGTGAAGAGTGTGGTATAAATTTACATATATTCACTTTAAACCAAAGGCAAAATCAGTTGATTGAGTGTGAATTAAACAGGAGCTAATGCATTGATTTTATGACAACAAGTGGGTCTAATTGATGCATCACAGACAATAACAGGCTGCCATAGCAAAAAGAATACATTACCACAATGATCACACAGCTGTCTGTTTAGAGGTTAAAAGAAAAAACGAGTAAAAGAGTCTGGGCTTATTGATATCAAGCAGCAGTGGTGCGGCTTTAAAGGAAGAAAACTCTGGCAGTAAAACTGTAATTTTCCCAGAGCCAAAGAGTGGATGAGGTAGACTGGTGAAACCTGACAACATAAAATGCTTTAAATGTCACTCTAATATGAACATTTAATCTCACATGGAGTGATGGCGCTTGCTGAAAGCACATGATTTACAGGACTGTATACTGTATACTACGTCTCTATAGTATAAAAGGGAAGAAATAGTAAATTGCTTCCCTATTATAGGGCTCCGGAGCTACATGTTATTAGGATTGGTAGTTTTAAGATTAAAATTAGAAATAAAATTATTTCTGTACATACTGTACTATACTGTCACAAAGTTTTGAGTGGAATTGTGTTTGTGGATCTTGGTGGGAAAAAAATAGAAATCTCATTTTTACATTTGAAGGTTTATAAACTCCTGCACTAAAGAAAATGATTGGAATTAGCATGATAAATGGATACATTGAGAAGAAAATAAATCATTGCTTTTCATTACCTGAGGTAAAGTAACTATGCCATAGTTAACTATCATTAAGGATCATTATCATGTGTTTTAAAAATACTGTTAGAGATTGGTTATGTGTCTGATGTTTTTGGAGCATTTAAAGACAGGTTTATTGGTTATGTCACTGATGTTTTTGGAGCATTTAAAGACAGAGCTTTTATGGCAGTGGTACAACTGAAGCCACAGTTGGAGCTTCAGTGGTTAAAAGGATGTAATTATAGAAAAATCTTTGGCTATTGAAATAACAATGTAATTTCCTGCCCTTAGTAAGTTATTTCTAAAAAGTTCACTACGTTGTTAACATTGTTTTTGCTCGAAAAGATGAAAGCCCTCGGTAAAGCCCTTTGTGTGCAGTGAACTAATGGCTCATCCTAAGATTGCACATAATGGCTTGTTCTTTAAAACGTCAAAGTTCACTCACACTTAGCAGCCATAATTTTTCCGATCATATAGAAAACAATTGGGGAAAAAGAGGAGACACAGGTAAGGGGCTGCCACCCTGTAGATTATGACTCTGTGTTGTCATGGAATGACTGCACATCTTTCCCACCTTTGCCTCCGTTCCCCTGTCCTTGGGACTAAACAAACAATGACTAATCTCTTTTGCAACCATTTTTGTTGTTGATATCAATGTAATTATTAACCAGCCCCCCTAATGGGCATAATCAATTAGGTTCATCCACAGTGACCTTGGTATAATCTGAGTTTGTAAAGATCAGACAAATTAGAGGAAGTCAATGTGTATTCTCAGTTTCTCATTGTATTTTAATGTCGTGTCCTAGGGTTTTCACTGCTGTCCTGATCCCTTTAAACTAAACAGGAAACTCAGTGGGGATCAGATATGTCTGGACATTTTTATCCCAAATTGAACTTCCAAAAGTAGCAACCGAAAAATCACCCAGCGTTGTGGCTTCCTGAAATGTGATAGACTTTGACAAAAAAAGAGAGAGAGAGAGGGAGAAGTGAAAACATGTGGGGTGTAATGACCTCACTCCCCTGCCCCCTTCTCTAAACACATTCCTTATTTTGGTGGGTTGTCCCCCAAACACAAGAAAAACATGGCTGCGTTCAGCCTTTTTCCTGTCTTTTCATTATTCTCTCATGCGCAGGAAAAGTTGAACTTTAAACACATGGGAGCAGTGAGGAGGAGGAGGAGGAGGAGAGTCTCTGTCCTCGTGCAGAGACTTTGACTACTGACACTCTTCATTTTCACTTGAAGGATTGTTTACTCCTTAAAGGTTAGCCTTCAGCCTAACCTTCCACCCGGTACACTCCCTCCTCAATTTTATAGCAATTTTGACACATTCAAATTTCACGGGATTTCATGGAATGATGAAGTGGTTAATCTCAGCCTGAAAGCCTCACAGCTTTGAATCCTCCTGAGTCACGTCCTGCAATTGTGCTTTGAGTCCGAGTGGAAGGGGGGAACCACACAAGAGTTTAAGTTAGACCTCAGGGGCAGCGGGACCAGAACAGGTCTGGATTTGTAGTCTTCACCGTTGAGGACCATGTGTGCTGCAGCCTTGGAGAAATACTGTGGATCTGTTTTTTGGGTAAGAGTGAATGAAAGTAAAATGTAATGAACTTAGCGTAGGTGGAATTGCTTTTTGTGTCTCTTCAGTGTTAGTTTACATAACAATAATCATAATAATAATATTAAAATGTTTTTTCTACATTTAATTATTTGCAAACCTTCTGGTTTGACTTGTGTCTTCCGTTCACTCAGTAAAACAATTTCAGTTTTTAAAAAACCTGAAATATTATTATTATTGAAATATATTATTATATTGTATTCTCTGATATTCTCTCCTTCTCTTATTTCATTCACCCCTTAAATAGCCCTTGCAGATCCGTGATATTGCATGTTTCCAAGATTATTATATAAAGTTTAAGGCACAAATGTAGAATAAATACTAATTGTGCAATTCAAGGCCATTTTTACAATATACATCAGTACACCACACTCCCTGTACCTGTCACATGATAATGCACATAAAAACTTGGCTCTTGTTTTAATACTATAGTGTTGAGTGTTGAATTATAAGGTCATTTTAAACATGGCTCAAGGCTCCGTTTAATATAATTTAAAATAATCTTAGATATGAATGTAGTTTAACTATGTATATTTACAATTAATACAACCTCTATCTACTTTGTTTGTCCTTGCCCTACTTCACGAGCCTCAACAATTTTTTTTCTTGATTAAACCAGGTTTCCATGGTACTTTCAAATGACACCTTGAGCTCAATTCTTTTTTTGCTTTATATAACATTTTCATTTGTAATTAAAGTAATATAGCAGAGACATATGGATATATCAGTGAGTTCTGAAGGGCCTAACAAGTTTAAGTAGATTTGTCAAATATCATTTCAACATCAAATTTCTTGACTCCATGAACCACTTGTGTTAGTGTATGGAACTTGAAACAACTCATTCTCTGGCTCTTCAATATTTCATTTTATATTGTGCTGTATATGTTGTTTGTGTCCGTTATCTTAACCATGTTTTTAAAATATAAAACGTGTGTGTTATTGACACCATGTGTTATTTATGAAATCAAAAATGTAAACAGTAATCATTGAAAGGTAAAGGGTGTTTGTAGAGATAGTACTACCGTGAGCACACTGTAACCCTTGTACACAGTGGACACGTGATGATAATGACTCTTGGGTAACCAATGATTCAGCATGGGAAGCAACTATATGACACATCTAACCTAAGACTTCGTTCCTTATCTCTCCCGACTGCTCTCCATCTTTTCAGTCTAATCATTGTTTTACAGCCTGGTTAAATAATGATTTAATTAGTCAGTTGAACACGATCAACGTCGGTCCGCCGTGATCGACTTAATCACATCCCAATTGCAAATGCAATGACTTTTAAAAACAAAACATAATAAAACGCAGCCATTCAAGATATTTTCTTGAACGGCTGCTGAACAAAGGTCTCGCTTATGATTTAAACTGCCGACTCATGCTGACTGCTAACAACTGGTATGAAAAATCATTACACCACCCGACACAAACACACACACTTACAATTCACACACATGTGTGAATAGCTAATAAGACTTCACTCCACCAGCTGCTTTCATTTCACATTTACCCTTGTTACACCAGTCTCTCCTTTAATCAAGGACTTGATTCATGTAACCATATGAAACCTTGTTATGTTTTAAAACATAGTGATGATTGGTGTTCCCAGGTTGTGTGTCACAGCATAATGTGTAACCTTTGCAGAAACAGGGATGATCAACCTTCTATATTGTGTATTTGTCCAACCTCAGAATGCCTCGTACCTGGAGAAAGATGACCCGGATCTCCCACTATGCATGGAGCAGACTGTGCTGGTCTGGATCCCCTTGGGATTCCTCTGGCTTTGTGCTCCATGGCACCTGGTGTCGCTATGCAGAGGAGCACGGGTGAAGGCAAAACATCTGTCCAGGATTTACCTCTGCAAACAGGCAAGTCACACAACAAGGAGAATGTTGGACACAAGAAATGGAAAAGATTTATTCTGAAAGTCTGGGAATTCCGTCACACAGATAATGACTTGCCTCAAAGAATTTTTTTTTAAAAACGTTTTGTTTTGCTTCTTTTTAAAATACACTGATTTTTTTTTAAAAAACGTTGTTTTTACGTTGTTTTGCTTCTTTTTAAAATACACTGGAAGTAGAAAATATGATTCTACCAAAAAGCTTAATAACATACCAGGGTAAATCAAAAACACTTAATGAAAAATTTTATTTAATCTTAAATTTTAATATTAAATCTTGAATTTTTTAAATTGGAAAGTAACAAGCTGCTTCCTTCTTTGTAGAGTTTTGTGAGACGTCCTTGTCACCAGGTCACATCCTGCTTTGTTGCCACGTCTAACGACTGAAGTCCGTCTCTCTTTTCAAAGTTCTTTCAGTTTTAGGG